AAGCGCAGTCCAGACTGACCAGCTTTATCTGTGCTTGATGTCATGCAGTGAGAAGGCCTTTTTGATCTCCCTTTTAACCAAAGTTGGACAGGGCAGTAACCCAGTCCTCCCACAGCTAAAAGGGCACCTTAGAAACCCTCTGGGGTTATAGACAAGACACATAGAAGGCCTCTCCTTACTCTTAGCCAGAACAGTGAAGATTTTTTTCCCTACACACTTCCCCCTCCCCCAGCTGTAACCCTGAGTTAGGCACCAGGTTCCCAGGTGGGTTGTTGGACATGCGCACCGTGTCCTTCTAGGCCCCAAACATACTAGATCAATTCCATACCCTTGTCTTTACTCTTGGACCTCCTGTGGCTACTGATGAATTAATTCTACTCTTAGCCTAGGTTCTGTCACTTCTCCAATCTTTTAAATATCTTACTGTCTTCATCACCAGGTGGGATTCAGCCCTTTCTGGCTTTCTGTCCCACCTCTTCTAATGCAAGGCAGCCAGTGCTGCGCTGGCTTCAAGGCTGTCTGAACTACATACCTGCTATATTCCCCCATCTCTTCAGCAGCTTGACACCCAAGGCCCTGCCTTCACATTCCATTATTCACATTACCTCTCACTTTCTTCTCTTCTCAGCATTGACTGACTCATTTTGTGCTCAACCTCTCACCTCAGCTTGAGATTCATGTGTCTCGAGCCTCAGTGGACCTAGGTATGGGTAATCAGCCCTACTGGGGTTGACCCTTGACCAGGCCTGACAAAAGTGGATAGAAAAACCATTGCAGGGGCTGGAGAGATAGCTCAGTCAGTAAAGTGCTTGCTTGCTGTGCAAGCTCAAGGACCTGAGTCTGATCACTAGCACTCACAAAATCCCAGGACTGAGGAGATGAAAAGAGCATCCCTGGATCTCTGGCCAGCCAGTGGTGTAGGCTAATTGGTGAGCCTAAGATCCCAGCTAGAAACCCTGTCTTGGCTGGGCTTGGTGGTCTAAGCCTTTAATCCCAGCAGTCAGGAGACAGAGGCAGGTGGATCTCTGTGAGATCTAGGCTAGCCTGGTCTACACAATGAGTTCTAGGCCAGATAGGGCTATAGGGGGACCCTGTCTCAAAAAATACATCATGCATATAAATCATAGCTGAGCATTCCCATAGCCTTAATTGACTCCACATGTGTGTCGTGCCATGCTCACGCATATGTACATATACACAGTAAGTAAATAAAGTGTAATAGAAATTAAGAAAGAAGGAATAAAATTGTTCTGGTTGCCTATCCTGTCAGGTACACGTTCTGGGAGACACTTTGCCTTCTTTTCTCAGACCTCAGCAGTCCTGATTTGACCACACACCCCTGTCTAGCCCTCTCTTACTTCTGTCTCACTTCCTGCTCTGCCGAGTTCCCATCCAAGTTCTTTTCCTCTCAGTCCAGTCATGTGGGGAAAGGTGGCTAAAGCCACTCTTCTTAAACTCTTTCACAAACCCGTTTTCCTCCAGTTATACTAACCTGACCACAGGCCCATGTCTTATTCACTCATTCATGTTTACATGGCACCTACTGCATCACAAGTACTCTAGGTTCTAGTAATACATCAGTGAGGAAGAAACAAAAATCTCTGCCCTCATCTAGCTTGCATTGTAGTGAGGAAGGATACCTGGTAAGTGGACTGAACTGCGCGTTAGATGGTAGTAAGTTTTAGGGATACAAATGAAGTGGGAGTTTGGGGAGTAATGCCCCCGTTTGAGTTCTCTGGCAGAAAATGCGGAGATGGAATGTGCAGTCAATGCCTGTGAAGGAAGGAGGAAGAAGCAGGATTGGATAGAGGAAGAACTGGTACTTGAACAGTGTTGGAAACCCAGGAAAGTTTCAGGGAGGCAGTCTGGAACAGGAGTATTCCATCTGTGTCCCATATGGGGTGGAAATGGTCAGTCCCCTCTAGCCCTGCTTCACTTAGCAGACCAAAGCTTCTGGGGAAAAGATGTGACCTTGGATGAAGTGCTATGCAGGGGGAGAAAGTCCTTGGAAAACAGAACTGGAGGTTTGTCTGATCTGGTGGGGGTGGGTGTAACTGTGTCTACCACATGGATGCTTCAGCGAGGGCCTCATGTAGAAGAGACCAAGGGAGTTCAAGGAAGCTAGACCTGCAGATATCTAAGGCTTAGGACAGTAGATATGAATATGCAGAGCTGGTGTGGTTGTCTCTGAGGCCCTTGATAGAACATGTGTGCAAGAGAACATGAACTCAGGGCAGCAAGGACCTGAGGATCACCTGATGACCCTGGCTTTCACTGTGAGACAGATGACATGGAGGCCTGGAGGACACTTCTGAGGGAGGCCCTGGCATAGCAGTGCCCGTGGATTAATTGCTGCTTGACTTCTCTTCTTTTTTCCTTCCTTCCTTCTTAAAATTTTTTTTTGTCTTTTTGATACAGGGTCTCCCTGTAGTCCCAGCTGACCTGAACTCACTATGTAGACCAGGCTGGCCTTGAACTTACAGAGATCTGCCTGCCTCTGCTTCCTGAATGCTGGGACTAAAGGCATGCGCCACCACGCCCAGCTCTTTTTAAAATTTTATGTGTATGAGTATATTGCCTGCATGTATGTAAGTATACCAGTGTTATGCAATGCCTACAGAAGTCAGAAGAGGGCGTTGGATACCCTAGAACTGGAGTCATGGATGGTTGTTAGCTGCCATGTGGGTGCTGGGAACCAAACCTGATTCTTCTTCAAGAGCAGCCGATGCTCTTAACAGCTGAGCCATCTCTCCACCACCCCCACTTATTTTATTTTATTTTATTTTATTTTATTTTACTTTATTTTATTGCTTATTTTTTGTTGAGACAGAGTTTCACTATGTAGTCCTGGCTGGTACTTGCTATATAGACCAGGCTGGCCTCAAACTAACAGAGATCCCCCTGCCTCTGCCTCCCTAGTGCTGGGACTCAAGGCATGTTTCACTACCCCAGTCTTTGCTTCTTAAGATGGGAACTAAGGGAGCTGGGACAGGAGATAGAGTCTCTGTCAGGATGCATAACTCTGTTAGGATTTGTTAACCCAGCAGTATCTGCCAGTGTCTGCTGCCCTCTGGTGGCTATGTAGGAGATAGCCCAACTTGCTTACCTCTCCTTTTACTTCTGCCTGGTGAGTTATATAGGTGCACCTTCAACTCCATCTGAGTCAGATGGCAGAGGTGTTAGGCAGCACTTAGAAGAAAATAACTCAGGACTGGAGAGATGGCTCAGTGCTTAGGAGCACTGACTGCATTTACAGAGGACCTGGGTTCGATTAACCAGCACCCACATGGAGGTTAACAACTCCTGGTAACTACTTCCAGAGGATCCGACACCCTCTTCTGACCTCCACAGACATTGCACAACATGGGTGCACTTATATACATGCAGGCAATACATTCATACACATAAATAAAATTATATTTAAAAAAGAAGAAAATAACTCATCAATTTAGAGGAAGGCAGAGGGAAGTGGCAGTGTTTGGAATAGAGCTGGGAACTGTTCTGTGGTGTGTCCTAGTACTGATGGTCACCAGTATCCAAAGGAGAAGAGTGCAAAAAGAATGCAACCAGGGAACTGTAAGCAATTACCCAGGTGGTTGGGGCTGGAGAGATGGCTCAGTGGTTAAGAGCACTGACTGCTTTTACAGAGGACCCAGGTTCGATTCCCAGCACCCACACGGCAGCTACGAACCATCCTCAACTCCAGTTCCAGGAGAATCTGAAGCCCTCTTCTGACCTCTGCTGGCATTGCACAACACGGGTACACTCACATACATGCAGGCAATACACTCCCATGGGAGAAAAGCCTTTGGAGTTGAGAAGGCCCAACTAAGGCCTGGGATAATCTCCATTATCATCATCCTCATCATTTTTTAGACATAGTTTCACTATGTATCCTTGGTTGTCCTAGAACTCACTATGGAGACCAATTAGGTCTCAAACTCTCAGATATCTGCCTACTAAGTACTAGGATTATGTCGGCATTCCCCGACATAAAAATATTTATTTTATGTGTACATGTATTGCCTGCATGTATGTTACTGCACCCATGTCATGCAATGCCCACAGGAGTCAGAAGAAGATATGGGATCCCCTAGAACTGGAGTTATGACAGTTCTTAGCTGCCATGTGGGTGCTGGGATTCAAATCTGGGTCTTCTGCAAGAACAGTCAGTGTTCTTAACTGCTGCGCTATCTCTCCAGCCCCTGGCTGACTTCAATTTAACAGAGTGCCACCAGTCTCTACCTCCCAAATGGTGAAATTAAAGGTATATGTTATCATGCTCAGCTCTTAAAGGGTGTGTGTGTGTGTGTGTGTGTGTGTGTGTCCACAGAAGGACACAAGAGGACAGAAGATGATGTCAGATCCCTTGGAGCTGGAGTTAGAGGTGATTATGACCTACCTGATGTGGGTGCCAGAAACTGAGCTCTGGTCCTCTAAAAGAGCAGCAGTGCTCTTAACTGCTGAGCCATCTCTCCTATTATTTATTTATTTATTTTACATGTATGTGTGTATATCTGCTATGTATATGGGTACTTGTAGAGGCCAGAAGAGAGTGTGAGGTCCCCTGGAGCTGGAGTTACAGGTGGTTGGAGCCACCTGATGTGGATACTGGGAACTGAACTCAAGTCCTATGGAAGAATCATCTCTCCAGCTGAGACATCTCTCCAGCCCCTGGCGTGGTCCCTGAGTTTGAAAGACTGGACCTAAGGTTATGGGCAGATCAAGGCCCTAGAATTATTAGGACAGAGTACCATAGAAAAGACTGTGACACAGAGCAAGAACATGAAGAAAATACAAGAAAAACAAGGGGACAGAACCAGGGAGAGCAGGGATCTTTTTAACCTGATAAAGGGCAGTAATGAAAAACCCACAGCTGACATATTCAATGTTGAGAGATCAAATATTTTCCCTAAAGGATGCGTGTTCTCACCATTTTCAGAAACATAAATAAGAGGTGCATAGGTGAGAAAGGAAGAGGTAAAACTGTCCTTACTCACATCCTTTTGTGGTTCATAAGCATGGTAATTGGGTGTTCACATGCATGCATGACATGTGCCACCCAAGAACCTTGTCATGCACTGGTGCATCACCCGTCTGACGTGAACTTGGGGAGAAAATAAAAATAAAAATAATAAAAAATAAAACTATCCTTACTCACTAATACCATGATCATCTACATAGGATAGCCAATAGAATCTTTAAAAACAGCTACTGGGATTAACACATTTAGAAGAAATGAAGGATAAATCAATGCACAAAATAAATTGAGAGCTGGAGATGTACTTGCCTCGCACATGTGAGGCCCTGGGTTCAATCCCTTGCAGCACACATGCAAAAAAACAAATGATCAGGGTCAGAGAGAGGCTCAGTGGGTAAAAGCCCCTGTAGAGCAAGCATGATGACCTGAGCTCAATCCAACAAACCCATGTAATGATGGGAAGAATCCACTCCACAATTGTTCCCACATTCCCATACCCCCCACAACTAATGACAGTAATGACAGTTATATTTCTGAATAATAGCAACAAAGTAAGAGAAATTGAAAATTTAAGGTTAGTATTTATGATAGTATAAAAATGTGAAATAGGGGGCTAGAGAGATGGCTCGGGGGTTAAGAGCACTGGCTGTTCTTCCAGAGGACGTGGGTTTGATTGCCAGCGTCCATATGGCAGCTGACAACCATCCGTAACTCCAGGGAATCTGATACCCTCTTCTGACCTCTGTGGGACATTGCATATATGTGGTTCACCTACACACATGTAGGCAAAACACCCATACACATAAAATAAAAACAATAAATAAAATTTTGTGGGGGGGGCGTCTTTTTTGAGAGAGGGTTTCCCAGTAGCCCCAGCTGGCCTGGAACTCACTATGTAGACCAGGTTGGTCTTGCACTCACAGAGATCTGCCTGCCTCTGCCTCCCAAGTGCTGGGATTAAAGGCATGTGCCACTATGCCCGGCCATAAATTTTTTTTGTGTGTGTGTCTTTTTGAGACCGGGTCTCCCTGTAGCCCCAGCTGTCCTGGATTCACTATGGAGACCAGGCTAGCCTTGAACTCACAGAGATCCGCCTGCCTCTGCCTTCTGAGTGCTGTAAATTTTTTTTTAATGTGAAATAGGATACATTTCTCAAAGCTGTGAAAGACGTGAATACTGGAGACTACAAAATCTTGCATAGAGAAATTAAAGAAGAGGGAAATGAGTGGTGTGATAAAGCTGTCCCTGGACTGGAACACTGTATACTGTTAAAATGTCAGTCATGCCAGATGTGGCAGCACACGTCTTTAATCCCAGCACTCAGGAGGCAGAGGCAGGCAGGTCTCTGTGAGTTCCAGGCCACCTTGGTCCACATACCAAGTTCCAGGCCAGTCAGGGCTACATAGTGAGACCCTGCCTCAAAACAACAACAAAAAAAGGCAATCATCCCCAAGCTGATCTATAAATTGAGTGCAATGTCAATCAAAATTGTACAGGGTGGGTTTTTGTTATTGTTTTGTTTTTAGAAATTGATGAGCTGGGGCCAGAGAGGTGACTCAGGAGATATGTGTACTTGATGTTCTTCCAGAGACACAGGTACAAGTCCCAGCACCTACATGGTGGCTCTGTCATCTTCTTCTGGCCTTTGTGGGCACTACACACATCAATAATCATACTGGCAATCAAAACATTTGTAAAAATAAAAATAAATCATTAAAAAAGAAATTGACAAGCTATTTTAAAATTCATACTGAAATGCAAACTAGAATAACCAAAACAACTTTGAGGAAAAAGACAAAAAGAAAAAGAACAGTTGGAGGGTTAATGCGACTTGATTTGAACAATCTATTGTAAAGTTGTATTAATTGAAATATCATGATTGAGCCAGGACTATTGGCACATGCCTGTGATCCCAACTCTTGAGAGGTGGAAACAGGAGGACAGAAGTTCAAGGTTATCCTTAGCTACACAGCAAATTCAAGGTGAGCTGTCTCAACAAACAAACAAATTAGCAGTGATAGGAACTGAAGGTATAAGCATGGTCAAGTACTTGCCTGGCACACACAAGGCCCTGGGGTCATACCCCATCACACAAGCAGAAAAAGCAAACAATACAAAACACACAGCCTGATTGCTACTGTTGTAAAGACAAGCATGCTGGTCAATGAAGTAGAAAGGTGCCCAGAGGCAAATCTAGTCATACACAGCCAACTGCTTTTCTTCCTCATTAAGACATAACCTTGCTATGTTACCCAGGTTGGTCTCAAACTTCTGGGCTCAAGTGATCCTGCCATGTCAGCCTCCAGAACCTGTGGAACTACAGACATGTGCCAACATACCAGGATTACTCTGTTTTTTTTGCTACTTTTTAAATTTATTTTTATTTTATGTGTATAAGTGTTCTGTATGAATATATGTAAGTGCACCACATATGGTGCAATGCCTGTGGAAGTCAGAAGAGGACATCTGATTCCCTGGACCTGAAGTTGTACACAGTTGTTAACTGTCATTGGGTACAGGGAACTGAACCCAGGTCCTCTGCAAGAGCAGTCAGTGCTCTTCATCACTGAGCCATCTCTCCAGACTCTTTAAAATATTTTCAGGCTGAGGGACTGGAGAGATGGATCAGTGGTTAAGCGCACTGCTGCTCTTGCAGAGGACCTGGGTTTGTTTCCCAGACCCACATGGCAGTTAACAACCATCTGTAACTCCAATTCCAGGGAAATCTGATGCTCTCTTCTGACCCCCACAATCATTGCATGACAGGGGTACAGTTACATACATGCAGGCAATACACTTATACGCACAAAATAAGAATGATAAATAAAATATTAAAAAATATATTTTAGAGCTGGGCATGGTGGCACCTGCCTTTAATGTCAGCACTCAGGAGACAGAAGCTGGCAAATCTCTGAGATAAAAATAAAATATTTTTATATATTTTGTTCTTGTGTATGTTCACATGCATGCACACATGTGATGGTGTGCATGTGGAGGACAGAGGACAACTTGTGGGAAACAGCTCTCTCCTTCTACACAGGATCCTGGGGATCAAACTCAGGTTGTAAGGCTGAGCCATGTCACTGGTCTGTTTTTCTTTTCTTTTTTTTTTAAAGTTTATTAATTTATGGCTGGGCGTGGTGGCCCACTGGGGTGGGGAGGGCAGAGGCAGGCAGATTTCTGTGAGTTCAAGGCCAACCTGGTCTACATAGTGAGTTCCAGGTCAGCTGGGGCTACAAGGAGACCCTTTCTCAAAAAGACCAAAAAAGCTTTCTGTCTGGCTGTGGCCATCAGGTGAGCCAAAATAGGTGCCTACAGGTACCTCCAGGAGCTGTGGTGGAAGAAGCAGTCCGACTGATGAGCTTTGTGCTGTGGTCTGTTGCTGGCACTACCGCCCACCCAACGGGGCACCTGGCCCCATCTGACTGGACAAAGCATGTAGGCTGGTCTACAAGGCCAAGCAAAGTTACCACAAATGCCCAGTTCCTAAGGGTGTGTCTTATGGCAAGCCTGTCCATCATGGAGTTAACCAGCTCAAGCTCTCCTGGAGCCTTCAGTCTGTTGCCAACAAGAGGGCTGGACCCCACTTGCGTGCGGCCTTGAGAGTCCCAAATTCTTCCTGGGTTGAAGATTCCACAGATAAATTCTTTGAGGTTGTCCTCATTGATCCATTCCATAAGGCTATCAGAAGAAATCCTGACACCCAGTGGATCACCAGAGCAGTCCACAAGCACAGGGAGATATCTGGGCTCATATCTGCAGGCCACAAGAGTGGTGGCCTTGGAAAGGGCCACAAGCTCCACCATACTATCATTGGTGGTTCTTGCTGTGCAGCCAGGAGACAGCACAACACTCTCCAGCTCCACCGTTACCACTAATATGTCGTGTTAGTAAAATTCATAACCAATAAACAATTTAGGACAGTCAAAAAAGTTTATTATTTATTTTTATTTATGAGTGTTATCCAGCCAACCAACCAACCAAAAACTAAGCAACATCCACCCCCCACCCCCCACCCCTGGCAAATGCACAAAAAGAAAAGGAAGTGAGGGGCTGAAAAGACGACTCAGCTGTTAAGAGCACTTGCTGCTCTTGCAAAGGACTTGGGTTTGGTTCCCAGCAGCAGCTCACAACTGTCTGCAACTCTAGTTCCAGGGGATCTTCTGGCCTCCATGGGCCTCTTTGAGCATTAGCCTTACACATGGTACACATACATACCCGCAGGCAAACACTTATACACATAAAATAAATCTAAAAACAAAAACATAAAAGAAAAAGAAAACAAAAAGAAAAATGAGCCCACTGCTCACAACCTTGCACAATGAGTTTGATATTTTGTGATGTTGATGTTCAACAGAATGGCAAGTCCTAGCTGTGAGCCCCAGGCCAGCTCTGGGAAGGGGGTAGTTGCTTTTTTCTTTTTTATTTAAATTTTTATTATTATTGTGTGTGTATACATTGAGTGTGGTTGTACATGTGCCATGACTCATGTGTGAAGGTCAAAGGACAACTTTCAGGAGTTGTATCTCCCCTTCTACTCTCGGTTCTGGGGATCAAACTCAGGTCATCAGTCTTGCAAGGCAAGTATTTTTACATGCTAAGCCATCTCTCTGGCCCAGTGGTTGCTCTTCTTTCTCACACACCAGTATACTTTAAACAGCCTATTTTGGCTAGAGGATGGATCTGAGTCACTTTGACACAGAAGTAGGTTTTCATTTCTATCTCAGGTGCAGAGCTTCAGATAAGGGATTTTATTCCTCATCTTAATCTTGTAGCTTTTACAAAAACAGGATCCAGGCCAATTAGTGACCCCATCACACATAGATGTATTTAGTTTTGAGCTTACCAAACATTACTTCATTTAAATTTCACCTAAACTAAAACTAACGCAAAAATAGAAATGAAACTATAAACAACAGTTCCTTCGAACTCCATACACCCTTTTCCAAATCCTATTCTCTTTTCCTTTGTGACAGGCCCTTAGATGCTTACCTATGCAATGGGTCAGCTTGACTTTAGTGGAATTACAGGTTTGTCTCTCATGGTCTGAGGCTCATTAGGTTTAAAAAAAAAAAAAGATATATGATGTAAATAGGGTGCTCAGGGAAGGTCTCCAAGATAAAGTGACATCTGAGTGAAAGATTCCAAGGAAGCTGTGACTTAAAATTGATTGAATATGCTGGGCATGGTGGTGCACGCCTTTAATCGTAGCACTTGGGAGGCAGAGGCAGGCAAATCTTTGTGAGTTCAAGGCCAGCCTCGTCTACATAGTGAGTTCCAGGCCACCTGGGGCTACAGGGAAACCCTGTCTCAAAAAGACCCCCCTCCCCAAATTGGCTGAATGCAGTCTGAAGAGATGGCTGAGCAGTTAAGAGATCTTAGTGCTCTTTTAGAGGACCAGGGTTCCATTCCCAGAACCCAAATGGGAGTTAAAAACACCAGTTCCAGGGGGTCTGATGTTCTCTTCTGGCATGCATGTGCTGCATGTACCTACAGACAAAACATCCATACTCATAATATAAACAAGATCTTTGAAAAATTGACTGAGGTACTGAAGAGATGGTTCAGTGGTTAAAAGCAATGGCTGCTCTTACAGAGGTCAGGGGTTTGAATCCCAGAATCCACATGGTGGCTAATAACCATCTGTCACTCCAGTTCCCAGGGATCTGATGCCTTCTGTCCTCTGTGAGCTTTGCACGACATGGGTACACTTGCATACATGCAGGCAATACACTCATACAATAAAATAAAAATAATAAACTTTAAAAAACTTTAAACATCTGGCAAAAGAATCATTTTAGGTAGAGGGAACTTCATTGCAAAAGTTCTGAGAAGGATCATGCAGGCTGTATTAGAGCTTTTTTTTTTGAGGCAGTCTTACTACGCAGCCCTGACTACTCTAACAAGAGATTCTCCTGTCTCTGCGTTCTGAGTGCTGAGATTAAAGGCTTACATCACCACACCTGGCTCCAACCACTTTCTTAGTGAGGCCTCCCCTGACAACCTTTTTAATTTTGAAGTCTACTCCTATCTGGCTATTGCTTTACTCTGTGGTACCTCCAGAGAATGGACGTTTTAATTAATTATTTTTTTAGAGATAGTCTCATGTAGCCCAGGCTGCCTTCAAATGTGTGGCAATTCTGCCTCAGCCTCTCAAGTGCTGCGATCACACGACAAGTTTTTGTTTTTGCTGTACTCGGGATGGGACAGAGGTTTGTATATGCTAGGTAAGCTATCTACCACTGAGCCATTTCTCTCTCTGGCATTTTCTTTTATTTACGTGCTATGTGTGTGCATGAGTAAGGGTGTCCACAGAGGCCAGAAGAGGGGTCGGATCCCCTGGAGATAGAATTACAGGCAGTCATGAACCACCCGGACATGGGTGCTGAGAACCAAATTCCGAGCCTCTACAATGGCAATAAGTACTCTTTATGGTTGGGCCATCTCTCCGGCTGGGGCTTTTGCTCTCATCCACGGAATTTTTCACAATGTAATTCTGTGCTAGTAAATTCCGTTTTCCTGCTTTCTGGGAGGGCCTGTGCCGTGGTGGCCTTGCTCCATCGATCCAGCACACGAGGAAGCCTTCTACAGCCATGTGGAGGGACCAAGAGTGGCATCCAGAGATGGCCCAGAAACACCTGGGACACGTGCTCCTGCGCGTGCGCAGCAGCACCCCAGCCACCAGCCTGATTGGCTGCGTCTCTGTCGCGGAATGTAATTACGCACGCACACTTTATCGCACGAGCTCGCGTGCGTGTTGCTCTTCAGCTTCCAGTCTCTCCGGAAGAATCGCAGCTTCTCATCCCGGTCCTCAATGTTTCCGGAACTCAATAACCTCCTCAACACCACTCCTGACAGGACCGAGCAGGCAAGATGTCGCGCGGCCGGAAGCGGGCGGGTCTTGAGGGCGCTGCGGAAGATTGTATCCGGAATTCATCGCGTCCGGCCGGGTGGGAAAGGCCCTACTGTCTTAAACTCTGGGCTTCTGGGAGTTGTAGTCTGGACCAGGCTTGCCCGGAGCCTAGTCCGGGGCTTGCGGACTGTGGGCGTCTAGACGGTCCTTCCTGTTCACAGAGGCCCCGTGTGCCCTTGCAGGCCTCCCAGGATCGTGTACTCCGCGAGGTCCTGGTCCCAGACGATGTTGCAGAACAGGCCCGAGAGGAGAAAATTCGATACTCCTACATCCTTTTGGGACCACCATCTTGCCTACCCCGAGTCTCCCTCTGCCTCAGAACATTCGGCAGGTTTCATGGAACATATGCCTCTTCTATTCCCATCTTCTGATTAGCTCCGAATGGTCAGCATACCGTTGTACTAAGAGCCTTGGGCCCCTGAGTTCCGCCAAAATCTCTTCACTCTTCATGGAACCTCAAAACCTCCCATTTTAACAAGGGTTATCTTTTCCAGGAGCATAGTTGGCTTATTCTATAATTTGTCTTCCTAATGAACTGGTGAGCCTCTTCAGGCAGCCAACGTGCCGTGTATATAAAGCCTTTTTTTTTTTTATCCTTATGGTGCTAGACAAATTGTAGCTCTGAATGGTTCCTTGTGGATTTTAGTTGCCTAGTAGTTGTCTGTCCAAAACTCCAGTTAGGTTGCCTTGCCAGTTGCTAGCCACTTCCACGGCCCTGTGAGGTGGGAACAGAAAGACACCCAGAAATGACAGCACTTGGTTGGGAGGGTGTGTCTTGGTATTTTATATGTGGGAAAAAACCCTGAAGCTCATAAACATTAGGCACATTTGTTTAAGTTGTGCAGCATTGAGGCTGGGGCAGTTAGCCAGACACTGAAGAGACCATCTTCAGACAGCTTTCTAGGGCTCATCACAGTCTGAACCAGGGCTATTGGGGAACTTTATCATTGGAGGTACATACACAGACGAGAGAGAGCGAGAGCGAGAGTGAGGAGAGAGAAAACAAAGGAAGAGAGAGAACTCTCCTCTTCCACTGTACAAAGTTGACATCAGGGAGGAAGTTTAGGGCAGAAGACACTTTTTAAAATCTTTTTTTGAGATGGTCTCACTGTCCATCACTGGCTGGCTGGCCTTAGACTCACAATCCTACACCAGTCCTGGCTGGAAGTCCTTTTCTGAAGGTCCCTTCTATTCATGGCAATCTAATTTTAATTGAAGATTGGTGATAAAACCATGCTTCGTTTTGAATCTAATTCTCCCTAAGACTGTTCCTTAAGCTACCAAGGTAAGGAGTAGAGAAGAGAATTTTATTCCCTATTTTTGACTTAAGAAAGTAAAGGCTGGGGCTGGAGAGAGGGTTGGGGTTCAGTTCCCAGCACCCACATGGCAACTAACTGATAACCATCTGTAACTCCAGTTCCAGGGGATTCAATGCCCTCTTTTTATTTTGTTTTATTTATTATTTATATTTTATGTATATATGTGTATTGCCTGCATGTAGGTAAGTACACCCGTGTTGTACAATGCCCAAAGAAGACAGAAGAGGCTGTCGGATCCCTTGGAACTGGAGTTAGGACAGTTGTTAGCTGCCATGTGGGTGCTGGGATTCTGCAAGAACAGCCAGTGTTCTTAACTGCTGAGCCATCTCTCCAGCCCTCAATGCCCTCTTTTGATCTCTGCAGGCATTGCATGACATGGGTTCAATACATGCAGGCAATACACTCATACACATAAAATAATAAAATATTAAAAAAGAAAGTAAAGACTGAGATATATGCTTGCCCATCATAAGTAACAATACGTATAACTTTACTGACATTTCCCCATAATCTTGAATTTTTTCTTTTTTCTGTCTTTTGGTCTTTTTTTTTTTTTTCTTGGTGTTTTGAGACAGGGTCTCCCTGCAGCCCCAGTTGTCCTGGAACTCACTATGTAGACCAGGCTGGCCTCAGACTCACAAAGATTGGCCTGCCTCTGCCTCCCAAGTGCTAGGATTAAAGGTGTACACCACCATACCCAGCTTTTTTAGCCTTTTTGAGATAGTGTCTCCCTATAGCCCCAGCTGGCCTGGAACTTGCTATGTAGACTAGGCTGGCCTCAAACAGAAATCTGTCTGCCTCTGCCTCCAGAGTGCTGGGATTAAAGGTGTGTGCCTCCATACCCAGTGATTTTTTTTCTTTTTTTTTCTTTTTTTTTTTTTTTGGTCTTTTTGAGACAGGGTCTCTCTGTAGCCCCAGCTGGCCTGGAACTCACTATGTAGACCAGGCTGGCTTTGAACTCACAGAGATCCACCTGCCTCTGCCTCCCGAGTGCTGGGACTAAAGGTGTACACCACCAGGCCTGGTGATTTCTTTTTCATTTTTTAATCTTTGTGTTTTTGAGTTCACAAATTTTTGTATGTAAATGTAGTTGTACACATGCCATGGTGTGGAAGTTGGTCCTCCCCTTCTACTTTGGGACTTTGTTGTTCTACACTGCTATGCCAGCTGGCCCAAGAGTTTCTGGGAATTCTCCTGTCTTTGTCTCTCGTCTCCCCACGGCAGCTCTGAGACTACAGATGTGCACTACCAAGTCCAGCTTTACATGGGTTCTGGGGATTCAAACTCAGGTCCTTGTTCTTGCACAGCAAGCATTTTACCTACTGAGCCATCTCCTAAGCCCTAATTTATTCAGTTTTTGGATAAATTTAGCACAAATATATCATTAACAAAATATGCTGTTCAAGTGTAGAAATTTACACAATTGACTTGATTTCTTTACTGGAACTTAGCTTTTTCCAGGGAGTCTAACTTACCTTGTGTTCCTCCTAACCTTTAGGGGACACTGACTCTACTCTGTGATGCTAAGACAGATGGCAGCTTCCTTGTACATCACTTCCTCTCCTTCTACCTCAAAGGTATGTGATTCCCTGATGCTGTAGAACAAGAAACCCAAGACAACAAAGAAAAAAGAAAAGAAAAAACGTAAGGAAGCAACGGGAAGAGCACTTACTCAGCTTTGGTGTTTGGGTAACCAGTGAGCCATTTTTACTGGATAGTTGTGTTACTAGACCCTGCCAAAGAGTGATTTGTGGGCAGCATAGCCACATACTACCTTCTTCTCCAGCACTTCGTCTTCTCCAGCACTGTGCAGCCACCACCTCACTGAGGTCCTTAGATGACTTCCTGACTTAGTTCTTTAGTCCTTGTGTTTTTAAGCCTTAGGCTCCTTGACTCTGTTGACATTTTGCCTTGCAGTGGCTGCCTCCTATAGAACGTGGCCACTGCAGTTTATATTTGGAAATAGATTAGGAAATAGCCAAATAAAAGCTACTTATCTCTCCTTTATTGGGGCGGGGGGAAGGCCAGACAAGCCTTGACCTTGCTATATAGCTGAGGATGACCCAGGATTTATGAGCCTTTTTCTGTACCTCTCAAGTCCTGGAATTGTAGGTGTACATCACCATACCTGGCTTTATTTGGTACTGAGACTCAAACAAAGCACTTTGTACATGCTAGCCAAGCACCCTGTCAGCTTAGCTACATCCCCAGCAGAGTGGATCCTCTCTAAGGATGTACTCTGCTAGTCAGGATAACTAGCAGACCTTTGGTATGCCTGATCATACAAATTTACAGGCATGGAAATTATGTTTTCTTCAGATGATAAGATTGTCAACATAGAAAAGCAAGAGAATCTATGGATAAACTATTAGAATTAATAAGGTTCAGTCAGGTAGGTAGGGTTTCTTGGTATTTATTCTAATTCCTATTAATATAAGACTGCTTTAAAAAAATCAATTGTAGGGACTGGAGAGATGGCTCAGTGGTTAAGAACACCGACTGTTCTTGCAGAAGACCCAGGCTTGAATCCCAGCACCCACATGACAGCTAACAACTGTCCGTAACTCCAGTCCCAGGGGATCCAACAGCCTTTTCTGTCCTCCGTGGACATTGCGCAACACGGGTGCACTTACATACATGTAGGCAATACATGCATACACATAAAATAATTTTTTGTTTTTTTGTTTTTTTTTTTTTTTTGGTCTTTTTGAGACAGGGTCTCCCTGTAGCCCCAGCTGTCCTGGAACTCACTATGTAGACCAGGCTGGCCTTGAACTCACAGAGATCGCCTGCCTCTGCCTCCCGAGTGCTGGGATTAAAGGCGTGCACTACCACGCCAGATAAAGTAATTTTTAAAAAATAATAAATGAAATATTAAAAAAAAATCAATTGTAGGGCCTGGAGGTATGGCTCAGTGGTTAAGAATACTGGCTGCTCTTGTAGGGACTTGGGTTCAGTTCCCAGCACCTACATGGTGGCTACCAACCACCTGTAACTCCAGTTCCGGGGGATCTGACACCCTCTTCTGACCTCTGTGGGCATTGCATGAACATGGTGCACTTTCATACATACAAGCAAAACACTCATACACAAATGAAGAAAATCTGTTGCTCAGTGTAGTGGTGCACAATTTTAATCTCAGCACTTGGGAGGTAGAGTCAGGTGAATCTCTGTGAGATCAAGGCCAGCCTGGTCTACATAGCAAATTCTAGGCCAGCTGGGACTTTAGGGAGTCTTAAAAAAGACAAAAAGATCTGGGTGTGGTGGCACACACCTTTAATCCCAGCACTCTGGAGGCAGAGGCAGGCGGATCTCTGTGAGTTCAGGCCAGCCTGGTCTACATAGTTCTAGGACAGCTGGGGCTACAGGGAGACCCTTTCTCAAAAAGACCAAAAAAAAAGGACAAAAATAAATAAGTACGTAAAAATCAGTTATGAATGCCAACAGTAAACATACTAAAAGTGGAAAAAAAGACAAAATTTGCAATAGAATGAAATTAACTGCCTTGGGTGAAGGAAATGGCTCAGTGGCTAAAAGCACCTGCTGTACAAGCCTCAAGGCAGAGTTTGATCTTTGGAACCCACATAAAAAGCCAGATGCAGGGCTGGAGAGATGGCTCAATGGTTAAGAACATTGGCTATTCTTGCAGAAGACCCGGGTTCAAATCCCAGCACCTACATGGCAGCTAACAACTGTCTATAACTCCAGTTCCAGGGGATCCAACAGCCTCTTCTGTTCTCCATGGGCATTGCACAACACGGGTGCACTTACATGCAGGCAATACACGCATACACATTTAAATTAAAAAAAAAAAAAAAGCCAGTTGCAATAGTGCACATTTGTAATCCCAGCACACCTACAGCAAGGTGGGAGGCAAAGACAGGAGAATGGCCTGGAAGCTTGTGAACTGGTAGCCTGGAGTACCAGCTCAGTGACAGAAACAAGAGAGACCCTGCCTAAAGAAATGGAAAGTGAGGGGCTTGAGAGATGCTTCAGTGGTTCAATTCCTAGCACCTTCCTGATGGCTAACAGCCATCTGTAACTCCAGTTCCAGGGGTTCTGATGCCTTCTTTCGACCTCCTTGGGCATTGCATGACATGAGTGCACTTACACACGTGTAGACAATACACTTATACACATAAAATAAAAATAATGAATAAAAACATATTAAAAGCCAGGCGTGGTGGTGCATGCCTTTAGTCCAAGCACTTGAGAAGCAGAGGCAGAGGCAGGCGGAGCTCTGTGAGTTCAAGGCCAGCCTGGTCTACATAGCGAGTTCTAGAGGCCAGCTGGGGCTATAGGGAGATTCTGTCTTAAAAAGACCGCCCCCCAAAATGTGGAAGGTGAGAACCAAGCCCTAAAAGTTGTCCTCTTACTTCCATAGACATGGGTCAGCACATGCACATCCATGCTTACACACATGCACATAGCTTTAAAAATCCAAATTAAGGTAGCTGGGCATGGTGGTTCATGCCTGTAATCTCAGCACTCAGGAGACAGGCAGGTGGATCTCTGAGTTCAAGGCCAGCCTAGTCTACATAGTGAGTTCCAGGCCAGCTGTGGCTATAGGAAGACCCTGTCTCAAAAAGACCAAACGAAAAAAAAAAAAAAATCTAAATTAAGTATCTAGTATTGTATCTAACAGATATCTCAGAATCGATGAAACAAGGCAAAACTACTAAATGTGAAAAATAAGTGAACCAACCTTGGTGACACACACCTTTAGTCCCAGTATTTGAGAAGCAAGAATTTAGGAGTTCAAGGATACCCTGCGCTACATGAAACCCTGTCAAAAAAACAAGGGCCGATGAGATGGCTTAGTGGTAAGACATTTACTGCCATGCCTGGTGACTTGAGTTCAGTGCTTGGAACCCACATAAGGGTGAAAGGAGAGAACCAACTCCAGAAAGTTGTCCTCTGATTTCCATGCATACATATTATGCATACACACAAAAATAGTTTTTTGAAAAATGCATCTTGGGGCTGTGAACTGTAGCTCAGTATATAGAGTGTTTGCTTGGCATACGTGAAGCCCTGGGTTGAATCCTCAGCACCATATAAACCAGGTATGGTAGTGCATGCTTGTAATCCCAGCACTCAGGAAGTAGAGCGAGAAGGATAGAGAACTCAAGGTCACCCTTGGCTATATAGGGAATTCAAGACCAGCTTGGGCTATGTAAGGGTGCATGTTAGACTGAAATTCAGCATGTCAGGGTACAAGGCCTCTGGGGGTCCAGACCTAGTGCTTCTGTTTCCAGAGGAATGAGGTGTACAGGTCTGATTGTACGTAGAACATTTGTTAACAATCATTGTATTTGTTTTCAAGCTAATTGTAAAGTCTGCTTTGTGGCACTCATCCAGTCCTTCAGTCACTACAATATTGTGGGACAGAAGCTGGTAAGTATTTCAGCCCTCAGTGATGACATGCCTGAGTGAAAGCGTATGTCATGCATATGTGAACATGGGCTAAGGCTGGGCTTTCCTGTGAGAACTTAGCAAAGAAGGGGCTAAAGAAATCTGGAGGTCCTAAACCCCTTATCCAAAGGATTAAGGTAGAATCTGAGTGTGCTTTATTGAAAATTTATAGAACCAGACCTATTGTTTATAGATGTCAGTTAATCAAAACCAACTGATTGGAGCAGCTAAGGTTGTCTTGCCTAGTATGCATGAAACCCTGATTTTGATCTCCAGCACTGCATAAACTGAGGTAGAGGCAGAAGGATCAAAATTTCAAGGTTATGCTCTGTTACTTTTTTTTTTAATGCATATGAGTGTATTGCCTGCATGTAGGTAAGTGCAATGCCCTTGGAGGACAGAAGAGGCTGTTGGATCCCCTGGAACTGGTGTTGCAGACAGTTGTTAGCTGTCATGTGGGTGCTGGGATTCGAACCCAGGTCTTCTGCAAGAACAACCAGTGTTCTTGACTGCTGAGCCATCTCTCCAGCCCCACTTCATTACATTTTAAGTCAAGGCCAACCTGGGATACATGAGTCCTTCCCATAAACAAACATCTGAAAGCAGAATGGAAGTAGGAACAATTCAACAGGGTTTGGGATGCCTTTTTTTTTGTTTTTAAATCTTTTTTTTTTTTTCTGTCTTTTTGAGACATGATCTCCCTGTAGCCCCAACTGTCCTGGAACTCACTGTGTAGACCAGACTGGCCTTGAACTCACAGAGATCAGCCTGCCTCTGCCTCCCAAGTGCTGGGACTAAAGGTGTGTGACACCATGCTTGGCCATGAATGTGTCTTAATCCTCTTGTTAACTGGTAGCTAGCTACTCTGATGGGTTCCTCTACAAGACATATAACTCATTCTGGTTTTGGGGGGTTTTTTTGGTCTTTTTGAGACAGGGTCTCCCTGTAGCCCCAGCTATCCTGGAACTCACTATGTAGACCAGTCTGGCCTTGAACTCACAGAGATCCGCCTGCCTCTGCCTCCCAAGTGCTGGAATTAAAGGCGTGTGCCACCATGCCCGGCTATCTGGTTTTTTTTTTTTTTTTTTCTTTAATTTTCAAAAACTGTATTTGCTGGGGTTTTGGATGGTGTTAGCCATCATGTGAGTGCTGGGAACTGAAGCCAGGTTCTTTGTAAGAGTAGCTAGTGCTCTTAATTGCTGAGCATCTCTCTAGGTCCCCTCTCTGTTTTTTGTTTTGTTTTTTTGGTAAAGATGTATATATTCTTATGTTTATGAGTGTTTTGCCTACGTCTATCCCTGTGCATGGCATGCATGCAGTACCCACAGAGGCCAGAAGAGGGCATTAGATCCCCTGGAACTGGAGATAGAAATTGTGAGCTGGGACCCAAACCTGGATCCTCTGTAAGCCATCTCTTTAGCTCTTGTTTTTTTTTGGTCATGTTTAGGGTGTCAGCCTGTCCACAGCACGGGAACGTGGACAACTTGTGTTTCTGGAAGGCCTCAAGTCCTCAATAGACATCTTCTTCCAGACTCAGGAGGAGCCGCACCCCTTGCAGTTTTTCAGGTCAGAACTGCACAGCTGGCAGGGGGCCCAGACAATGATTGCTCTGTGGTTCCTTTGGCTTGTTATATGGGAAGGCAAAAGTGGCTTCAAGGGTCAGACACTTTGCTTGGTGTTGTAGCATATCAGAAAGCCATTGGCTCTGATCATGGGGCTAATGGAATATAGTTAGGAAAGCTATGGAAAGCATCGTTTGCTGGGAGTATGGCACAGTGAAGTGTTTCTCCAACCATGGCTCAGAGTCCTAGCACACTCATCTTTGCTTTTTCTTGGCTTCATGTAGAAACTAAGGGTCATAGGCCAGTGACCTATTCTTATAAGTAAAATTTCTAAAAAAAATATATATTTTTTTTGGTCTTTTTGAGACAGGGGCTCCCTGTAGCCTCAGCTGACCTGGAACTTGCTATGTAGACCAGGCTGGCCTCAAACTCACAGAGATCCTCCTGCCTCTGCCTCCCAAGTGCTGGGATTAAAGGCGTGTGCCACCTTGCCCGGCTAAAAATATTTTATGTATTAGTTTTATTTTATGTGTATGCGTGTATTGCCTGCATAGGTAAGTGCACCCGTGTTGTGCAGTGCCCGAGGAGGATAGAAGAGGCTGTTGGATCCCCTGGAACTGGAGTTACAGACAGTTGTTAGCTGCCATGTGGGTGCTGGGATTCAAACCCAGGTCTTCTGCAAGAACAGCTAGTGCTCTTAACTCCTGAGCCATCTCTCCAGCCCATAAGTAAAATTTTATTGGAACACAGCCACATTTGTATGTTACCTTATTGTCCTTGGATGCTTTACTTTATAGCAACAGACTGGGTAGCTGAGATAAAAAACCATATGATCTGCAAGCTTAAATATTTATTGTATGACACTTCAGGAAAAAACTTTTGGTATTCAGTGTTGTAGGTCTGAGATTGGTTTTGCTGCTTCTCAAACTTTCTGAACATCAGGCCTAAATGTGGCTGCTAATCTTTCCTATTACAAATGAGTCGGTAAAGGAACTCCTTCTTTCAGACATACCCTTATGCAGTGGCTAGAGGGCTATGTTCTCTGACCCTGTGTGTAATAGGTCCCCTAGTACTTCAGACCCTTGGTTTCATCATCTGACTGCAGGGGCTGGTTACACTTTCTCCCAGTGTGTGGAGAGTTCTTGTTAGTGAGGATTACCCAAGTGCAAAGGCTCATCCCTGAAACATGAGGTGGGAGGGTGTTTGCCCTAAGCACTATGTTCCATTCCTCTTCCCACTGCTGGGAAGTGACTGCGGGGGACATCACTGGGAAGGTGGAGGTGCGTGGGTCAACATGTCAGGAACGTGTCAGATCTGTCATGTGTAGAAGCAGCACATAGACTATCACCCCTCACTAAGATACTTGAAATACTGTTTAACTACTTATAGCCCCTCATGATCTTCTGGAAAGGCCTCCTTGCTTTCCCATTCTGAGTTAATCTTCTAGATTCCATGGGCTCTTGGGCTGAGATGTATGGTTTCTCTTTTTATCTTATTTTTTTCTTTTGAGACAGTCTCACTCTCTTGTCCAGATTGACTTCTAACTTGCTGTCCTCCTCCCTCAACCTCCTTAGTAACTGGGACCGTAGGCATGTACCACCATGCCAGGTTTGTATGATGTTTCTTCAGGGCCCCAAATGTGATCATTTTTGTGTCCCCCAAATTCTAGCTTGATGGTTTGTACCTAGTACGCCTGAGGAAATACTGAATTGGAGTTAAATTTATTCATGACCGTGTGTATGTCTTTTCCAGACAATTATATGGTTCTTTGCCTCCCCCAACATTGCCTGGGGTCACTGTGTCCCAGATAAACATTTGTAGAGCTGGGCATGGTGGTACATGCCCATAATTCTAGCACTTGGGAGGCAGAGGCAGTAGTATAGTGAGTTATAGGCCAGCTCCAGAGTGATGTTCTATTGAAAAGGAAAGGCTGGGGATGTAGCCCAGTTGATAGAGTGCTTGCCTAGCATGCACAAAGCTTGAGAACTCAGCATTGTATAAAACTAGGTGTGGTGACACATGCCTGCAATCTCAGCACTCAGGAGGTAGAGACAGGAAGATCAGAAGATCAAGGTCATCCTTGGCTACATAGTGAGTTTGAGACCAGCCTTGACATATAAAACCCTGTCTCAACACTGCCAGGTGTCGTGGTGCACACCTTTAATCCCAGCACTTGGGAGGCAGAGGCAGGTGGATCTCTGTGAGTTCAAGGCCAGCCTGGTCTACATAGTGAGTTCCAGGACAGTTGGGGCTACAGGGAGACCCTGTCTCAAAAAGACCAAAATAATAATAGTAATAATAATAATAACATGACATAACATATCCACCACATTTGTAGACTGAGCTCTGGTGTCTTTTGTCCTTTGTCTCTAGGGAGGCCAATGGAGGGAACCTGCAGTCACTGTATGAGTTTGTGCGGGATGCCTTGAAGCCCAGGGACAGTGAGGAGACCATGTGGAGGTACCCAGTGCTGTTGGTGGACAACCTCAGTGTGCTGCTAAGCCTGGGTGTGGGGGCCGTCACCGTGCTGGACTTCATCCAGTACTGCAGAGCTGCTGTGTGCTGTGAACTGAAGGTACTAATGAGATTTCCTGTCGAGGCTCTCTCTGTGGTCTCTAAGAGCCCAGATTCACTTGTCACTCTTGCTCTGTTTATTTGCGGTCTGACTTTCCTTGGTAGACTCAGAAATCCTTTGGCTCACCCATCCTGTCCTGCCCTTAGCATTACTAAAAATAAATCCCCCAGAGTTAAAGGATGGCCAGCACTGTATATGATGATGCTATAATCTCAGCCTCTGGGCCTTTAATATATTTTGAAGATGAACTTAAATAATGGCTTTGTATTGTCTTTCTTCATGGATTGAGCCCAGAACTTGCCATTAAACTGCTTTAAAAATGGTAAAGTAGGACTGAGGGTGTACCTCAGTTGGTAGCATGCTTGTCTATTATTTAAGAAGGCTTGGGTTTGATCCCCAGCACTGCATAGAACCAGGTGTGGTGGCACATGCCTATAATCTTAGCACTTGGGATGCAAAGGTTAGAGCATCAGAATTTTAAGGTTATCCTTGGCTACATAGTGAGTTTAGGCTAACCTGAGATACTTGAGACACAAAAAGCTTAAATGCAACTGGACATGGTATCACATGCTTATAAACCCAGCACTTAGGAGGCTGTGACAATAGAATTGTGAGTTTGAGGCCAGGTAAAAGCACTGCCCAATATTTTATTTACTTATTTTATTTTGTTTATGGGCTAGAATTTCTGGCTAAGAGTACTGGCTGCTCTTACAGAGGACCGGGATTCAGTTCCCAGCTCCCACATGGTGGTTAACTATCCATAATTTCAGTTCCAGGGAATCTGATGCCCTCTTCTGACCACTGCAGGGATTGTATGCATGTGGTTCACATACATATTTACAGCCAAAACACTCATATTCATAAAAATATATAAATATATGGTGTCTCCCTGTAGCCCCAACTGATTTGGAACTCACTATGTAGACCAGGCTGGTCTTGATCTCACAGAGATCCATCACCTGCCTCAGCCTCCTGAGTGCTAGGATTAAAGGCATGCACCACCATGCCCAGCAATAGTGTTTTTTTTTAAAAAGGGAAAAAAAAGATTTGAGTGTGAAGCTGGACATGGTAGCACATACCTGTAATCTTAGCCCTTTAAGTTGGGCCACATAATTCCAGGCCTGCCAGGTCTATGTAGGACACCGTCTCAAAAAACAAAACAACAAAAAGACATTGAATGAGGTGAGGCTCGTAACACACCAGTGTGGTGTTTAACATAGTGCCTGGTACACAGGGGCCACTGATTGAGTCAGTGATAGCATAGCCAGTAGGAGCTTGTGGACATTTGCATGGTGAGGCCAGACGTATAGCAGAACAGTCAAAAGAGAAGAGTTAAATGAGTTAGCCAGGGATGCAGCAAAGTGTGCACAGTCCTGCCTGGAAGTTCAGGGAACTGCTGAGACTATCTTGCTGATGTTCATGGGCCCAGGAACCAGAGTAATGCAGAAAGAGAACATGAGAGGAAGAATGTGTGAGGGGTTTGGGGGGCCCCAGGAAAGTGAGAGAAGAAATTGATGGAGGGCCCCTGGAGAGTGGGGGAGAGTATAGTAGGCAGAGCTGCCTTCTATGTGCCACCTTCTGTGCTCAACTTGCTCTTTGGCCTACCACTGCTTGGTGTTTGGGAAAAAAAAAAATGCTTCTTTATATTAGAAAAATAGAACTTGGGGGCTCAGTTTTTTGGTTTTTTTCTTTTTGTGAGGGGCGGGGGCACAGTTTTAAAAAAGAAAAAGAAGGGCCAGGTGTTATGGTGCATGCCTTTAATCCCAGCACTCGGGAGGCAGAGGTAGGCGGATCTCTGTGAGTTCAAGGCCAGCCTGGTCTCCATAGAGAGTTCTAGGCCAGCCTGGTCTCCATAGAGAGTTCTAGGCCAGCTGGGGCTACAGGGAGACCCTGTCTCAAAAAGACCAAAATAATAATAATAATAATAATAATAGTAATAATAATAATAATAATAATAGCAATAGTAATATTCAAGAATGGAGACTGAGTCCCTAGGGTAAGCTTGGTTTCAGAGGAATGGAATTGAAAGTTCAGGTTGAACTTACCAGGGAAAGTATCCAGCAGATGTTTGGAATTAGGGTCCTAGAGCCCCACAGGGGTCTTTCCCACAAAGGGGCTGTTGTAGCAGCAGCAGGTAGTCTGTGAAAGGATATGTGGGGACTGAGGGGTGGAAATGTGAAAACCTGGTGTTCCCTGACCCGGGTATCCTTTTGTGTCTGATGCAGGGAAACATTGTAGCCCTTGTGCATGACAGTGGAGATGCTGAGGATGAGGAGAATGACATCCTGCTGAATGGCCTCAGTCATCAGAGCCACCTGATCCTGCGGGCTGAGGGCCTGGCCACTGGCTTCTGCAAGGATGTGCATGGGCAGGTCGGTACTGGGCTGAGCAATGGGTATGCTGTGGGTAGAGGGAAACCTTGGGAGTCCTGAGTTGTGTGACTGCAAGTCAAAGCCCTGTACCAGATGGTATACAGACTCTTGAACCAGGGAATGTTTTTCCTGGTGATCCCACTTGTGACTAAAGTGGTGTTCTCCTGAAAAGTTGACAGTTGTCTAGAATGGATTATAGCCATACCATCAAATAACAGCAGAATTCTTCTGTGCTGCTAAAGTAGTATTTTGTACATTTTTCTGCTCAACACAGTTCTTTTATTTTTTTATTTTATTTTATTATTTTATTTATTTTATTATTATTTTATGTGTATGCATGTATTGCCTGCATGTAGGTAAGTGCACCTGTGTCGTGCAGTGCCCATGGAGAACAGAAGAGGCTGTCAGATTCCCTAGAACTGGCGTTACGGACAGTTGTTAGCTGCCATGTGGGTGCTGGGATTTGAACCCAGGTCTTCTGCAAGAACAGTCAGTGTTGTTAACCACTGAGCCATCTCTCCAGCCCCAACACAGTTCTTTTAAAAATAAAGACTTGGGGGCTGGAGAAATGGCTTAATGGCTAAGACCACTGGCTGCTCTTGCAGAGGACCCAGGTTTAGTTCCCAGCACACCCACATGGCAGCTAACAACCATTTGTAACTCCAATTCCAGGAGATCTAATGCCCTCCTCTGGCCTCTGTGGACATTATATGCATATGGTGCATGTCCATATATGCAGGCAAAACATTCACATGCATAAAATAATAATAATTTTTTGTTGTTGTTTTTGAGACAGGGTCTCCTGCAGCCCCAACTAGCTTGGAACTCACACTTGCTATATAAACCTGCCTGCCTCTGCCTTCAAGTGCTGGGATTAAAGGTGTGTGCCACCATGCCTAGCAAAAGAAATTTCTTTAAAAATCATAAAAATAATAGCTCAGCAGGTAAATACTTGCTGCCAGATAGGACAACCCAAGTTCTATTCCTGGAACCCACATGGTGGAAAGAGAGAACTGATTCCTGCAAGTTGTCCACTGAATTTCACATGTGTGTCTTTTTTCTTTTTAATTTATTATTATTTTTATTTTATGTGTATGCGTGTATTGCCTGCATGTAGGTAAGTGCACCCTTGTCATGCAGTGCCCATGGAGGACAGAAGAGATTGTCTGATCCCTTGGAACTGTAGTTATGGACAGTTAGCTGCCCTGTGGGTGCTGGGATTCAAACCTGGGTCTTTTGCAAGAACAGTCAGTGTTCTTAACTGCTAAGCCATCTCTCCAGCCCCTCCACATGTGTGTCTTGATATGTGTGTACCCACATACATACCCCATGCACAAAATAAGTGTAAAAAATATAAACAGGCTGGAGAGGTGACTTACGGATTAAGAGGTACGAGCGCTTGCTCTTTCAGAAGACATGAATTCTATTCCTAAAAACCGTATCGGGCAGCTTATAGTGACTCCAGCTCCAGGGGATACAATGTCCTTTTCTGGCCTCTGCTGATACCTGTGTGCACATGCACATACCTATACAAAGACATATATGTATACACATAATTAAAATAAAAATAAGCTGGGCTTGGTGGCACACACCTTTAATTCCAGCACTGGAAGGCAATGCAATGTGGATCTCTGAGTTCCAGGCCTGCCTGGTCTACTTAATAAAATCGAGACCAGCTAGAGTTATATAATAAAACCCTGCCTGTACGTCCCCCTCCCCCAATAAATAAACATCAAAAAAAAATTTAGTTTAGCCAGGTGTGGTGGCACATGCCTTTAATCCCAGCATTTAGGAGGCAGAAGCAGGCTGATCTCTGAGTCCCAGGCTAGCCTAGTCTACATAGTGAGTTCTAGGCCAACCAGACTAAAGAGTTGAGATGTATGTATGCTTAGTGTTAGAGCACTTGCCTAGCATACTTGCCTAAATAGCACCATATACAAGGCCCTAAATTCGACCCCCAATACTAAAAAATAAATAGGAAAGAAGAGAGGGAGGGTCAGGCATGGTGATACATGTCAGTCAGCATTCTGGAAGCAGAGGCAGGAGGATCCTGATGAGTTTGTGGCCAACCTAGTCTGTATAGCAACAGAAAGAGAAGGGGTGGGGCTGGGGAGGAGGGGAAGGGAGAGAAAGAAGGGAAGGGAGGGGAGAGGGAAAAACCTACCAAAGAGAAATATGTGAAATCACTTTTGTAGTTTTTCTCTTGGGGACTTTTTCATCCTTAACTTTTCTGTAACAGCAAACAAATACATTGCTGTAATGTATAGATGAACCTTGATTTTTAGTGGGCTGATAATGTTTATCGTGGAGGTTGGTCTTATCACCATATGACAAATTTAACTGAGATCTCACAGAAACCTCAGTTGAAGGTGATGGGGAAGGTCCAGTGTGATTGACAATGGTATTTGAGTGACAGCCCCTCCTTCACTCTTTTCCCTCTCTACAGCTGAGGATCCTCTGGAGGAGGCCATTGCAGCCCACAGCCCAGCGAGATCGAAGCCTCACTTACCAGTACAAGATACAGGATAAGAACGTGTTCTTTTTTGCCAAAGGAATGTCTCCTGCTGTTCTATGACCTGATTTGGGGGCAGCTAAAGCTACTCTTGACTGTTTTTGGATACAGAAGATAAAACATGAATGGGCCTTCAGACCTTTGTAAGACTATTTCAGGCTGGACTGGCAACTCCACTGACCAGATGGGTTGAATGGTGCTATGGAGATGTGTGTGTGTGTGCCTTTTTTTCTCTGGGCCCTGCTCAGAAACAGGGAGGCATCTACATATCACCTCTGCTCTGAGAGGTTAGATGATGAACCCCAGCTGAAGGGGACCTTTGGAGCATCCCATGAAACTGCTTTAGCCTCACTTACCCATTTTTGGTGGTTGTGCCTTTCAGAGCCAGAGTGAGTAGAATGGACCAGTCAGGAAACTGTCCTGGATGGCAGGCATCCAGGCTGACAACTAAGATAATGATGGCTGGAATAAAGAATGTTCGCATGCTAGGCTTCCTGTGGGTTGTCTCTTTTAAATTTCATTTCTATGCTGAAAAGGGACTTTTCCTTGAAGTCCAGTGAGAAAATGGGCTTGGAGAGGAGTAAAGGGCAGTCAAGGCTTAGAGCAGGCTCTAGGTAATTAGGCTGGACTTCAAAGACCATACCTGCTGACCCACATTCATGAAGACCAGGGGCAGGCTCCCCACCTGGAGGTGTGAACCTTCTACCTGTTTGTGCAGTTTGACCCATATGCTGGAGTCCTAGCCATCAAGGGTATATCACATGGGGCCTTGATCACATGGGGCCCTGGACAGGCCACCTGTGTATGGCCTTGAAGAGAGGAGAAAGGAAATGCCTTGCTGTCACATAGGATGGGGCCTTGGTGAGGAACTACTGCCTCTTCTTTGAAGGCAGAGAGAGTGAGAGGAGGGAGCTTCTGGTGATGACCACTGATTCCACTCAGCTTCTTAGTCAGGGTCACCTCAGAGGGAATACCAGGGATATTCTCTTAAAATGAGTGCATTATTTTTACATGTAAATTATGCCACTATAACTTAAGAATAACATTTAAAAATACTGTTGCAGTGTACTAAGGAACTTTTATATGTTGTTCAATTTTTAATTTTTATTTAAAGACACCACCTCCTTTTACTATTTTATTATTTTTATGTATATGAATGTATTGCCAGCATGTGTATAAGTATACTCGTGTCATGCAATGCCCTCAGAGGTAAGAGGGCATCAGATCCCCTGGAACTGGAGTTATGGACTGTTGATAGCTGCCATGTGGGTGCTGGGAACTGAATCTGCATCCTCTGTAAGAGCAGCCAGTGCTCTTAACCACTGAGATACCTCTCCAGCTCCCAAAATGTTTTACTTTTTAAAAGATTGTTACATTTAAAAAAACATTTATGTAGCTGGATGTGGTGGCACACATCTTTAATCCCAGCACTTGGAAGGCAGAGGTAGGCCTCAGATTTCTGAGTTCAAGGCCAGCCTGGTCTCCATAGCGAATCCAGGTCAGTTGGGGCTACAGGGAGATCCTGTCTCAAAAAAAAAAAAAAAGACCAAAAAAATATTTTATCTGTGTGAGTGTTTTGCTTGCATTTAAGTGCACCTATGTTGTGCAGTGCCTGTGGAGGCCAGAAGAGGGCATTGAAACTCCTGGAACTGTAATTATGGAAAATTGTTAGCTGCCATGTGCATGCTGGGAACTGAACCTTGATCTTCTAACTGCTGAGCCATCTCTCTAGCCCAAATGTTTACATTTTTAGCTAGGTATGGTGGTACATGTCTTTAATCCCTATACTCTGGAGGCAGAGAAGTAGATGTCTCTGAGTTTGAGGCCAGTCTGGTCTATGTAGCAAGTTCTAGGCCAGTCAGTGCTACATAGTAAGGACCCTGTCTCAAAAAACAAAATAAACAAAGAATAAAACCCACCAAAAGGTGTTGATAGTTTTTAGATTTTATGAAGGGGAAGAAACCAAACACCTTTCTCTGTATCAAATTGACTAATGTATAGGTTATGCTGCCTAAATAGTTAACTTCCCTTATTTTGATTCATGGGAATGAGATGGCTCAGAAGGCACTTGCTGCCAAGCCTGATGACCTGAGTTTGATCCTCAGGACCCACATGGTGGACGAAGAGAACTGACTCCTTCAAATTGGTCTCTGACCTTCACGTGTGTGCATGCATGCACATACACGCATACTCCTGGAACTGGAATTATGGAAAATTGTTAGCTGCCGTGCGTGCGCGCGCACACACACACAGACACAGACCCACACACACAACTCAATGTAAAAAAATGTTCTTAGCTGGGTGTGGTGGCGCATGCCTTTAATTCCAGCACTTGGGAGGCAGAGACAGGTGGATCTCAGGCTGGCCTCAAACTTACAAAGATCTGCCTGCCTCTGCCTCCCAAGTGCTGGGATCAAAGGCGTGCTCCACCATGCCCGGCAAAAATACTATTTTTAATTGATAAGAATATTGTAGCTATAATTTTTTTTATTTTGTTTGGAAATTTTTCTACTAATTATTTTTCTTTACTTTTTTTTTTTTTTGTCTTTTTTGAGACAGGGTCTCCCTGCAGCCCCAGCTGTCCTGGAACTCCCTATGTAGACCAGGCTGGCCTTGAACTCACAAAGATCTGCCTGCCTCTGCCTCCCAAGTGCTAGGATTAAAGGCCTGTGCCACCACGCCCGGCTTTACTTTTTTGACAAGGTCTCACTATGTGAAACAGATTGGTATCACCTTGCGTTAATCCTCTTGCCCCAGCCTCCCTAGTACTGGGATTATAGGCATGTTTCCACCATGCCTGGTTTAGCCAGTAATGGTTTGGTGGTTTTTGTTTTTGTTTTTTTTTTTTTTTTTTTTTTTTTTGGTCGTTTTGAGACAGGGTCTCCCTGTAGCTCCAGCTAGCCTGAAACTCTCTATGTAGACCAGGCAGCCATCTCTCCAGCCCCAAATAAAATATTTCTTAAAAATTGAGAAGGACTTGCTAAGTTATTCAGACTGATCTTAATCTGATATTCTGGTTTTTTGAGAATATATTTTGTTTTCAGAGACCGGTGTGGTGGTGTATACTTGTTATCCCAGCATTTGGGAAGCTGTGGCAGGTAGATCACTTCAAGTTCAAGGCCAGTCTGGGCTACACAGTAAGTTCAAGACTACCTTAGGCTACATATAGTAAAATCCTGACTCAAAAAAACAAGGACTGGAGAGATGACTCAGTGGTTAAGAGCACTGACTGCTCTTACAGAAGACCCATGTTTGATTCCCAGCACCCACATGGCAACTAACAACCGTCTATAACTCCAGTTCCAGGGGATCTGACACCTTCTGACCTCTGCGGTCATTGCACAGCACAGGTGCACTAACACATTCGGACCATACAACAAACAAATTTATCACCAAACATGACTGCTTTATATTTAGATACTTATTAAATAGTTTTAGAACACTTTTATCATATAAGGGGTTATAAAGAAAAAATAATCCTAATGGCATTGGTCACAGTGCAATGGGAGGAAAAACCTGGAACAATAATAGTGTGATGGAGTTGAGGTCACAGAAGAGGACATTTATCACTCCCTCACCATTTTTTGTATTGTTTTGTTTTGGCTGAGGGAGCAGAAAGTGGATGAAAATTTTCTGGAGGCTATGTAAACAAGACTTCAGATGTTCCTGTTTTATTTCTGATGGTATTTTAAGTCTTCAGAACTCAGAAATGCAGTTTTCTTCCTTACTAGAATGAAGTTGCTAATCTTTGTTTTCTAGTTTCAAATAATTTTTAAAATATGGGTAACATTTGAACTCCTTTATAATTTTTTACAGTACTATAATTTATCTTCATATTGATAAGTGATTGCCCAACAGCATTTATGGAAAACTAATGCCCTCTCTGTTTTTTAATTATTGAAACAGTGATTTTACTGCTTGAGTACACAAGACAAATTTATGCCACTAGGGCAGAGGCTAGGGTGACTCATTTCTAGTGGGTGCAGAGGACCTGCTTGGTTGGTTGGTCTTAGAGTAACAAGCCAGTTGGATTCAACTCTCTATCAGAATCAGATGAAACTTGGCATCCCTTTCCTTCCTGTTTCTCTCAGGATACTAGTGAACAGCAGCTACTTTCTTTTTTTTAAAAAAATTTACTATTTTTATTTTTATTTTTTTGGTCTTTTTGAAGCAGGGTCTCCCTGTAAGCCCCAGCTGTCCTGGAACTCACTATGAAGACCAGGCTGGCCTTGAACTCACAGAGATCCGCCTGCCTCTGCCTCCCAAGTGCTGGGACTACAGGTGTGCGCCACCACACCCGGCTACTATTTTTATTTTATGTGTATGAGTGTATTGCCTGCATGTATTTAAATGCATTCATGCCATGCAGTCCCCACAGAGGTCAAAAGAGGGCGCTGAATCCCTGGAACTGGAGTCACAGATGGTTGTCAGTCACCATGTGGGTGCTGGGAGCTGAACCTGGGTCTTCTGCAAAAACAACTGGTGCTTTTAATCGCTGAGCCTCTCTCCAGACCTGAGCAGATGTTTTCTTAACTAAATGGTCCAGAGCTTCAGAAGGATCAGGAGCAAGTCCTTCAGACTTAAGGATTCTCAAGATTTTATTGCCCCTCACGAAACATACAATGCTGAGTGAGTTCCTCAGAGTCACACGTTTGTGAAAAGCTTAGGCCTTTCTTGGGCACTTTGTAAATTTGCTCCTTCATTAAATTAGATACCAGCTTGAGCCATAGCGCAGGGCCAAGTGGACAGGCCGTTCCCAGGAATATGCATGAGATCTGTGATGGTGGTGGTCTGGCCCCCTTTTGTTTTGTGCTTCTGATTTGATTATCTATGAGGAACTTTGTTTGAGACAAGGGTCTGGCTGTGAAGCCCTAGATGATGTGAAACTTGCTATCTTTTTAGGCGGCTCTCAGCAAACTTCTTAGCATCAAACTGGGTCATCTTCTCACACAATTTCACCTTCCCCAAGACTGTCCTGAACTGTGACTGGTCAGGGCAGATGAGGAATGCGTAGTTGATGTTGGGGATGGCCTGGCAGGAAGAAAGTTCCAAGACCTGCTTCTAGAGCCACAACAGGATGCAGACAACTGTGCTATTGGTCAATGTCAAATCCTCATCTTCAAGCATCTAGCACCCCCAAGATTTGCCTTACCACCTCCTTTGCATTCTGGGTGGCCTGTTTGTTGTGGTGCGTGATGTCTAGGGTGGGGAGGACCCAGGTGCTGGCTGGGGAAACCATGTCACAGTCAGCAATGCTCATGAAATGCACCACCCAAAGCTCCTCATTGTTTATATGTTAGGAGAAGGGTTTGCTTTCAAACACACTGACTCCCATCACCCTCAAATGCTGGAACCTTGCCTCCAGGAAAACTGGAGAAATTCAGGGGTGTGATTGGCTTGGCCAAAATGAAAGTGTCGTGGTGTGGAGAACATGGGAACCCGCCGAACTTTGATCAGTGATGAGGGCCTTGAAGGTGGTCCAGTTATA